TTGGTATAGAGCTCAGAATAGAGTTCAGAGCTAAAATTTAACTGATTGCTAATGTCCTTTATTGAAAAGTAATAGTCCCCCCAAAACCTCGTAGATACAGAGAACAGGCTGGTCATGACCAGGGGGGAAGGCGGCCAACCGTGCGAGTGACGCTAAGTAGACTTTAGGTAGTGATTGCCGCTTGGCAGTGCACACAGACATTGACTTACAATGGTGTCCACCTGAAATTATATAACGTTACACCAATTTTACCTCAATTAAAAACCACCTCGACAGTCCTGTTAGCAGATAAGAACCCTCAAAAAAGAAAACCCAAAACAAAAAAGCCAGAGATCTATGGGGAACATTCTAGATGTAGTGTAATCAGGGAGGACTACCTGGAAAGGTTATGGTTAAGACCCAAAGGCTAAGAAGTCAGCCCCAGCCACAGGAGAGAGTTTCAGGCACAAAGATGGAAAGGAGATACAGCTGCTAATTTTTTCTGATCCAAAATCCAGTCCACACCTTGCATTTAGCTGTCATGTCTGTATTTAATCTTCTTCATTCCGGAACAATTCCTCAGCTATCTTTGTCTTAAATGATATTGACAGTTTTGAAGAGTAGAGACCAGCTGTTTTGCAGAAAGCCCCCATTGAGTTCGTTTGATTTTGTTCTCATGATTGAAGTTACAGGTTTTTGACAGGACCACACAAGGCATATATCACCTTGCCCCATTACCGTGATTTTAAATTTGATCATTTGATTAAGATAGTGTTTCAGATCTGTCTATTGAAAAGGTAGCTTTCTTCCTCTTTTAATTAGTGAATAATCTGTAAGGAGATACTTTAAGACTTGTAAATATCCTGCTCAATAAACTTTTACCCAGAAACATCATGATTTAAGTAAAATCACATAGAAACAGTCAAGCGAAGGCTCTGACCATTTTGCCCACATCGAAATGGTTTGAAGCTGTTTTAAAGGAGGGATACGAGATCTGAACTGAGAGCCTTAGGAGCAGGTCTCAGGCAACGGTGGCTACATACATCATCTTGGGACTTTGTCATTTACTACCTCCAGAGAGCCACCACAGACACACACTCACAGAAACAGCAAAGCTGTTGTTATACACATTCCATCCAAAACAAGCAACGGTTTACGTTCACATAGCTGTGGGGTCAATGGCTACAGAGTCAGCTAAGCAGCAGGAGTCGACCCTAGACATTCAGAATGATATGATGAGATGCAGTTAGCACCAGCCTTCATCATCTTAAAAAGTCCCCCATTCTGAAGAAAGCTCCCCAGGCCCCGCACCCACGCCTGCCCTGTCCACTCTCACGGCCGTGCGAATCACTCTACCTGGTGGAGATGTCCGAAGAAGGCCTGGGCCTGGGCTGTTGAGATGGCTCCTCCAACGGGCACAGGCTGCTTCTGAAAGTCCAGACCATTGGTTTGCGTGCCTGCAAAGCGAGCAAAATCACCCACCTCTTAAAAACACAAACTCAGCCAAAATGAAGCCCGAGACGTTGGTCACCAGCATTTACTGGGCACCTGTTCTGTATAAGCACTTTTGTAGGTACCTCCCCGGAGGACAAGGGGTTCAAAAGAAGGAGGCAACACGGCAAAATGATGTCTCTTCTGAAGGCAGGGCTGCAGGACTAGTAGAGGAACTCGTAAATTAAGTTTAGAACCACAAACAAAAATGTAATCAGAGGCCAGTGTTAGAGAAGGCAGCAGCACTGTGGGGCCGGAAAGGCAGGTCAGACAAGGATGCCACTTAAGGTGGCTCCAGGAAGGGACTGTCCTCACGTCCCTGCTGCTCAGAACGAAGGCACACGCTCCAGGAGGCACTGCGGTTCTCTAGCCTGGCCCTTCTAGACACGTGGTTTGCACAGAAGGCAGTCACTGACGACTTGGACAAGAGTAAGACAGGCTTACTCTTAACTGAAACGCTTTAATAAATGACAACCTGATGGCAAAAGCAACCATTTACATGATTAAGAAAATCGTTTTACTAATTTCTTCAATCCTAAACATAGATTGCTTCATATATCTAGCTAGCAAGGCCTCTGCTATAATTACAATTTTATAAATGTTAAGTCAGTGCTTTTTAACTATTTATGCTGTGATCTGATGTTAGAATAGGGCTAACTTATAGAAAGAAATACCGCCTTAATACCCAGAAACATTCTAAGGTATATAATACATTGTTTTCAAATGACCACACCCAGCTGTTATTTAGAAACCACCCAAATACTTTCTACAGGAACTGTGAGGATCCCCGCGACACAGCCTGTGGTACTGCCCTTCCATTTCCTCCTGTGGGAACACCCCGAATTCTCACGTCCGCCCCTCTATGTGTGTGCACACACAGCACACCAGTTAGGCGAGCACAAGCTAGAACGTGAACACAGTGTTTCTACAAGGTGCTGACTCCTGCCCTTTCACCTCCTAATTTCTAGCAAATGTATAACTTTCCTTTGAGCGAATTATAAGAGTATATACATATTTCAGCTCCTTAAAATCTCATAGTGATTTTTCTCTTCTGTTTTTTCCGATAAACAGGAAACTATAGAACTACTTAGATATACAGTTAATGAAATTAAAAGGGTATGTGCTTGTGTTAGGTAGTGAGAAACTACTATGAAATGAAAGGTAAAGTAATTAGGGTCACTTCTAGATGTCACATACAGAAGTTTCACTGTCCTAAAGCTGCACGATTTGTCATTAGCTGCGTCTCTATGTCTAAGCAGGAATCATTATTTATGTGAACACTAAGGTTGTACACCATTAGAGAAATATGCTCAAGTTATATTCAATACATAAGCAAGGCTAACAGAGGGTGAGGCTTTGAAAACCAGAGACAAGCACTTAAGATGAACACATCACCAACTTAGGATATCTTCCAGAACCAAGTATTTCACTCTCATGGAGACCATGACAATCCTACACATGAGTCCCCACTTTCGAGTTCCCACAAAAATGGTAACAAGCCCCTGCAAATCACAAAGCACTAAACAACACAAGAATGCCTGATTTCTGTGGTCCCTGGTACAGGGCCTTTTACAGCGGCCTACAGATAATATTATTTCAGTGCCCTGGCTCTGCCTCTGGCGGAATGGCATAAAGCACAGTATCCAAAGCTAGTAAGGTAAAACAAAACAAAACACTTTTAGACAACAACTTGGATAAAGAGAGATTTAGGATGCAAAGGCAGGTATTTTTTAATAAGGTGATGAGGCTCCACTGGGAGGTGAGGGGTAGAAGAAAGCAGATATGATACAGAAATCATTCTTGTAAAACATAAAGACCTAAACTGGACTAAAGGAGAGGAAAGGTGCGCGCGCGCGCGTGCGCACACACACACACACACACACACACACACACACACACACACACACACACACACACACACATCCCTAATCAGACTTGAGTATGAAGACAGTACGGGGAGATGGGGATGTTGGCAGCCAACACCCAATGTGTGCCTGGAGAAAGAGGAATATCCAAATAAGAAACTGGGGAATTAACAGCTTGGGGAGAAGGTGAATTATGCAAAGTTAACATAAGATATAGTTTCAGAGACCCTGACAAAACAGCTAAGAAAAGTGGTCCAGAAGGCACTTAGTAATGAGAGGCCCGAGCTGAAGCTTCTCTAAGCCTGTCACTAGGACAGTATTACGGACATGAGCCTCAGAGATCACGTTTCCAACCCCCTTATCTCACTGGTGAAGAGACAGATTAAGAAATCTTAAGTGAATTGCTCAAGATGTCAGACTAGAAGAACCAAGACAAGGAATGGATCCCGATTCTGTCCAATCACTTACAGAGAAGTGATAATTAAAATTAGGCGAGTAAAAATGTCTATCAATTAAGAATGTATATAAAAGAAAAGAAGGTTGGTATAAGAGGGCACGCACCAACAGGTGTAAAGTCAAAGAGAGCTAGAGAGGAGGCAGTTAGCATAGTATTGAGTTGTCAGAAAAGTCATGACGCATGTTTGCAACAGATGGCACTGGTTCATTTTTGGAAGTACTAGAGTCAGTTGCATCTATGTTATTGCTGTCATTTGACAGCTGACAGTTCTAGCTTCATTCTAAAAATAAATTGAGCGATTTGATTGAGTTTTGCAGATTTTACAACAAATTGAAGATGGAAGACCAAACTGTGCATTTTTGCCATATTTTACTGTTTTACTTCCATAAAGGGAAGAACACGCGTCAAGCTTGTGAGAAGTTTCATAAAGTTTACGATGACAATGCTCTACAAGAACATCAGTGCCAACCATGGTTCACGAAATTCTGTGCTGGTGATTTTGATCTCAGTGACGCTCCTTGGTCAGGGAGGCCCACCGAGTTTGATGATGACAAAATAAAGGCACTGATCGAGTCAAACCCATGTTACCTGACACGAGAGATTGCAGAAACATTCAACATCCATCATTCAAGCATTCACGACCACCTGAAGAAGCTGGGATACGTAAGCAAGCTCGATATTTGGGTTCCTTATGAACTCAAAGAAGTTCATTTGACGGTGTGTATAAACATCTGCAATATGCTCATTAAACGTGAGGAAACGATCCTTTTTTGAAGCGACTGGTAATTGGTGATGAGAAGTGGATTGTTTACAACAACGTGGTGTCCAAACGGTCTTGGTCCCAACGTGATGATTTGCCTCAAACGACATGGAAATCAGACATTCATCAGAGGAAGGTGATGCTCAGTGTGGTGGGATTTTAAAGGTGTCGTGTTTTTCAAGCTCCTACCAAGGAACCAAACAATCAATTCGAATGTGTACTGTTGGCAATTGGACAGTTTGAACAAATCTATCATCCAGAAATGTCCAGAGCTCGTTAATTGTAAAGGAGTTGTGTTCCATTGCGACAATGCGAGACCACACACAACTATGATCACCCATCAAAAATTATTGGAGCTTGGATGGGATGTGTTATCACACTCACCATACTCGCCTGACCTTGCGTTATCAGACTTCCACTTGTTTCGCTCTCTTCAAAACTCCTTGTGTGGTATAACGTTCAATTCAGATGAGGCCGTAAATCAGCACCTTGTTCCGTTTTTCACAAATAAAGACAAGTCCTTCTATGAACAAGGAATTATGAAGCTCACTGAAGATGGCAAAAAAGGTTATCGAACAAAACAGGCAATATATCATTGATTGAGCTTTGTTCTTTATATAAATAAATGGCTTTTGAAAAATATAGACAAAATACGTCATGACTTTCCCAACAACCCAACAGAAGAAAGTCCCTCACAACTAGCGTGCCTCAAGAGCCAGTGAAGAGAAAGCTACAGGGTGGCCTAGTTTAATACTGTCTGCTGTGCAGAAAAGAGAAGGAAGTTCTGAGAAAGAAATGAATCCAAAGAGAATAGAGGAAAGGCAATAATAAACATAAGACCAAAAATTAATAAAATAGGAACAAAATACATAATAGAAACACCAACGTGGTTCTTTCAAAAGAAACATATAACTTACAATCCTATGTTAAGATGGAACAAGAAAATAAGAGATTGAACAAATAATTTAAGGTTAACAAAAAAGGCATAATTGAAAAATGGTGCACATACTGAAAAGAGGACATACTGTGGACCAATAAAATTCATACCAATAAAATTAAAACTTAAAAATAAAGAACTCTAGAAAATATAACTTATCAAGACTGACTCAAGAAGAAACAGAAAATCCAAACAGTCCCATAGCATTTGAAGAAATTGAATAAGTAAAAATCCTCCCAAAATGAAAAGTCTAGATAATTTCACCTGACTCACTTCCAGAAATCTAAGGAAAAAATAATTCCAATTATTATACAACTCTTCCAGGGTTGGGGTGGGGGGAGGACACTTAATTCTTTTTATGAGGCCAGCAAAACCAAAATCTAACAAAATATGAAAAAGGAAAAAAAAACACAAGCCAGTTTTACTCATGAACATATATGGAAATATCCTAAGTAAGAATAGCAAAAATAATCTAATAAGATAAAATATCATGACTAAGATGGACTTACTCCAGGAATGCAAGGTTGGTTTGGAGTTTAATTAATTAATATGATTTGCCACATTTGTTAAAGGGGAAAAATCAGACAATCATCTCAAAGGATGCAGAAAACCCTCAGATAAAATTCAATATCTGCTTATGATAAAAATTCTAGGGCCGGCTGAGTGGCTAAGTTGGTTAAGAGCTCGCTCAAGCGTTTCGAGTCCTGGCCCGAGCTGAGCAGCCGCTGAGCTGCCAACAGGTGGCAGGATGGCTCAGCTAAAAAAAAAAAAAAAATTCTAGGTGGCGGAATAGAAAGAAACTTCCTTAACTTGATAAAAATGTAACATTAAAAGCACTGCCTTTAAGATTAAGCCAGCTACTGGAAGGCTTAGTCAGCAAAACAAGGCAAGGAAAGAAACACGAGTTGGAAAAAACAATCAACACTCTATTCTCAGATGACTTGATT